CTCCCCTGGCCACTTGTTCACACTGTCACGCTGGGTCATTTCCAGCTTATGCATTAGGGGCGGAGGGTAAAGAACACATACATAAAAACTGTAGCGGCAGCAGATGACAAATTTCATGTTTGATTGTACCTTCTCTGTGTGTTCCCACTTAGTCCCCCAGTAGGTAGTGTAAAGAGTGAATTCTCACGTTAAAGGTGAAGAAGCTAAGATTCTTAGTTTAAGGGACTCACCCAAGATCCCTGGCTGGGAAGCAGGCAGAGCCAAGAGCTTAGGGCAGGCCAGCCTAATTTCAGAGCCATAGTCTTTATTTTGCTTGCTGTCTGCTCATTGGTTCTGTCTTCTAAATGGCAGTTTTGAGGGCTGGGGACTAGATCAATGGTAGAACATTTGCCCAAATGGCAGTTTTGCTCTTCTTTACTCCCTGTAAAAGACTGGGTCGTGGTGAGACAGAGAAGTACTGGAAGTAAGGGTTTAAACAAGCACTTTCCTTAGATACTCTTGACCACAGAGTCCTCTCCAGAGCTCCATCAAATGAAGGTAAATATATCTGCTCTGGGGTTGGAGAGATGGCTCAGTGGTTAAGAGCAGCCAGCGTTCGATTCCCAGAACCCACATGGCAGCTAACAACTGCCCATAACTCCAGTTCCAGGGGATCCAACACCCTCTTCTGACCTCCACGGGCATTGCTTGACACAGGTGCACTTACATACATGCAGGCAATACGCTCAGGTGCACCTGTGTCGTGCAATGCTCATGGAACTCCACGGGCATTGCTTGACACAGGTGCACTTACATACATGCAGGCAATACACTCAGGTGCACCTGTGTCGTGCAATGCTCATGGAAGACATAAGAGGCTATCAGATCCCCTGGAACTGGAGTTACAGACAGTTGTTAGCTGCTATGTGGGTGCTGGGATTCGAATCCAGGTCTTCCGCAAGAGCAGTCAGTGTTCTTAACTACTGAGCCGTTGCTTGACACAGGTGCACTTACATACATGCAGGCAATACACTCAGGTGCACCTGTGTCGTGCAATGCTCATGGAAGACATAAGAGGCTATCAGATCCCCTGGAACTGGAGTTACAGACAGTTGTTAGCTGCCATGTGGGTGCTGGGATTCGAATCCAGGTCTTCCGCAAGAACAGCCAGTGTTCTTAACTACTGAGCCATCTCTCCAGCCCCAACAAATAAAATATTTAAAAATATATATATACCTGATGTGTAGAGTTACTGCTACCTTTAAATACAATACCACTATCTTGAGAAGTAATACACAATCCATCTATTTAACAGATACTTGTTGAAGACTTAGCTATGTGTTGTAAAAACACATACACTGTATATTTCTGCTTGCTCTTTCTGATCATACTTTCCATTTATGTCCTCACTCTGTGATATATTTTATAGCCAAGCAATCACTAACAACTTCTGCAGGAAGACTCATTTTACATACACTAAGCTCTTTCTCATGCTCCTGGCTCAGACCTTGGTGCTAAGAGTAAATGATGCAGGGAATGAAGGCACCCTGCTTTCTGAGACACTGCGGCACTTGCAACTTGGTCTTTACCTGATGCTCATGCACGGAAGTGGATTGGCTTCTGTTGTGAGACTAGTCCCTGTCTTTGACAGTAGAAACAGTTCTGCTTCCTGGATTGAGTCTGCAGATCACCTTGTCTCTAAATAACGTGACCTAAATGGCTACTGAGCCAATATTTACCTCATGGGGGCTCTGGGGAATGCTAACTTGTGGGGTCCAAGCTTGACACCCTGTAACCACTCTTTTGACTCAGTACATGATTAGGCATAGGATTGGGGCTCTGGTCCTCTGCTCATCCCCCTCTGTGAGCAGACAGGCACCACTGAACTTTATGTCTCAGTGGTCAACACTACCTGTAGGATAATGACCAGGTTCCTCAGTAAAGTGTTCACAACCTCCCTTCAGTTAGCTTCCTACCCAACCTCAGTAGCCACAGAAGTTTCCTCATGAACACCACTGTTCTTCTAAACCTAGGACCTTCTAGTCCCAGCTGCCCCTGCCTTTGCGTGGTGGAATCCTGTCCGTTCTTTGGGACATGGCTTTTGTGCCCTACATAGGGCTCTTCCTGCTCTTTCCTCGTCTCTACCACCCAGTGTTTTCCTTCTCCCTCCCCCTTTCCCTCCCTCTTTTTCTTCCTCAGAGTTTTACCGAGCACTTTACTCTGTGGGCCATGCACCAGGTATAAGGGATCAAGTGCCCCAGAGGAACCTGGGAGGCCAGGCTCTCATTTCTCACAGAGCTCTTCATACTGGTGGCTAAACTGACAGTCAACTCATCCTTACAATGTGGTACAATTAGGTAACGTGCAGAGGCTTCACAGAAGCTACATCTGCGTCCTAGAGGTCGGGGTCTGTCTCTGTCTCTAGGGGAAGCTGGAGACTACTCTGTTCGCGTTGATCCCTCCAATGCTTAGCAAATATTCCAGCGAAATGTTGATTTCATGAAGAAATAGCTCCTTGCTCAATCATATTCATTCACTCAAGCAATGTCTCTTTTTCTTTGTGTCTTTCCAAGCTTTGAGTCACTAACTCTTGCCTGAGTTTCCCTTCCCAAGGCATTTCTTTCTCCTTACCCCTGAGTTGTTCACCTTGTTCCTTATAAATAAAACGTAAGTTCATGACCCCAGGAAAAGCTTTTCATTTCCTGCCTCTAGAGATACTCTTTTTCCATTCTGGACTTCCAACTTCTACACCATTTATATATTGACATGACTGATTCAGGAACTAATGAGAAACAAAATTATTCGTGACTTAGAATGAAAATCAGATAGACTTGGCAGTTCTCTGCTAACACTATAGAGGGATGGTCCAGCCCCCACTAGTTAATGCTGTTTTGGATGGGATTGCTGGAGAACAGTGATGAAGTTTGCATGCTTAAGAATGATGGTGAACTTTGATTTTTAAGTTTGCAGAAGCAGCTTGTGGTGTGGTCCAAGTGATGCTCAATGGGTCCCGCAGTGAACCCTTTTACAAAAACAGGTACTCCTATCTTTGTATCCTATTTGCAAGGGTTGATTGTCACAGTTACAGTCACCTGTGGGTATTTCATCTCTCAAAAGAATATGCTTTTCAGGTTTCAGATCAGTTCTGAAGATTTGGGTTTAAAAAAAGGTGAAACTTTGGTATTCTCTGAAGAGATTTCTCTCCTCCTGCATAACAAAGGGCCCTTGCATAGCATCCAGCCATTGCCCTTGACTCTCTGATGCCTCATATGATTTTTGCAACGTTCTGTCTTCTTGCACTTTCCTCCCTTTCACCTTCATTCATGCTGTTCAGCCACACCACCTGCCCTGCCTCCCCACGTCTGCCTGTCCCAGTCCTCACCACTCAAGAATAATGGCTGATTTCTCTCTCTATGAACATGTGAATCCCAGTTCATCAGTGGAAGTCCCACTAGGGACATCAGGAACCACCACACCAGGCTTTGATATTCACCTGTCGTAGTAGACACTGTCAGAAAAGTACCATAGTAGTTAAAAGTGAGGATTCCAGATGCCGTAATATATAACCTATGTGACGGTGGGCAGGCATCTGGCCCCTGACAGTCCTGCATGTGTAAATGATAGTAATGATGCCATGATGCCATACAGATGAAGTGTGAGAAACATTGAGCTCTGTGTCTAACAAAAACTCTCCAGATGAGCATTAGCTATTATTTTGTCATTTAATCCCCAGGACTGAATTGGGCCACATCTGTGCCTTCCTTTTCTGGCCTCTTTCTGTACTTAGCTTCCATCATGTCAATAACCTTTTGGCCTTTGCTTGAATCTTTCTCTGATTAAGAATGCTTATGAAAATGGAAGCACATACTGATTTTCTCTGGGCACTGTAGGGTACCCTCAATTAATTTTGCATCTCTTCTGCTTGAATGTTTGTTTTTACAAAGAAGAATTTGTCCTTTTGCCTTCTGACCATCCTGTAGGCTTTGGGTGAAACACTAACACTCAGAATCTTACCATCTGATATTAGAGACACAAGTCATTGCCACAGGAGAAGCAGCTGCCAGATACCGGTGGGGAAGAGTCTAGAAATGGACTGTATTAGTTTATTGCTGCTGTGATAACACACCATGACTAAAGGCAACTTATAGAAGAATGAGTTTATTGTGGCTTCCAGGTCCAGAGAGATAAGAGTCCACCATGGTGGGGAGGCATAGCGGTAAGTGGCAGGCATGGCGGCAGAAGCAGGAAGCGGAGTGCTCACGTCTTCAGTAATAAACAAAAAGCAGGAGAGAACTGGAAACAGGGCAATGCTATGAGCTTGCCAAGCCAGGCCCCAGTGACAGACTTCCTCCAGCAAGGCTGTACCTCCTAAAGGTTCCGTGACCTCCCAAGCAATGCCACCAACCAGGGACAAAATGTTCCCATACTTGAGCCTGTGGGGGACATTTCTCATTCACATCACCACATGGGCTTCGGGCAGATCATGGTAGGGTCTTTCACAGCAGGGCTTCTCAGACTCCATCAAACATGCAAGATCAATTCGGAGGTGGTGGTAGGCTGAGATTCTGCAGCTCTGACTGGTTCTCTGATTATGCTACTCTTTAAGCACCAGGTTTTTAAAAAAAATCAACATCAAAATATAAAAATCTTATCTTGAAAATCTGGTAATTGAGGGTCATGCTGAATGAGAAAATGTGGTTGATTCTCAGATAAATCATGGGACAAGGGGTCTAACCAGGGATGTTCAGACTTCTGGATTTTTAAAAATATCGCGTGTGTGTGTGTGTGCGTGTGTGTGTGTGTGTGTGTGTGTGTGTGTGTGTGTATTGCCTGCATATGTGTAAGTGTACCTGTGTCCTGCAATATCTGCAGAGGTCAGAAGAGGATGTTGGATTCCCCTGGAACTGCAGTTACAGATGGTTGTTAGCTGTCATATGGGTGCTGGGAACCGAACTCCGGTCCTCTGCAAGAGAAGCCAGTGCTCTTAACCTCTGAGCCATCTCTCCAACCCCAAGACTGCTGAATTTTGACAGGACATCTGGAGGCCCTACACTTTGGCTTGAGGTTGACAATGTTATTTGTCTCTTCTGTTTTAGTACTTTTGGAAGTGTAGAAGTCTTTAACTTGGACCCAAACAAGGTTCACACACTACAGGCCTGGGTGATGCATGACATTGGAGCAATTTCCAGGTATATATACTATTATCTTTCACCGGAGTGATACTTTATGAATCGGTCCATGAATAGAATCCACAGTCACAGGAGCAACTGGGAACAGGTTGCCTTAGGAAATGAGTCAGGCTTATTCTCCATTCCACCCTCTCCACAGCCTCTTAATGTGCTCTCCATGAGGGTTAAGTGACTGCTGTATCCTGTCAGCTCACCTGCTGACCTGAGAGCGCTGAGGGAGACTCTGCCTCACCTCTATCCCAGGGCAGTGCCCAGGAGTTATGATGCAGAAGAAACAGACTCATAGAGTATTTGAAAGATCTTATTATGTTAATTCTTTCTTCTTTCTTCCCCAGTGACTCATGCTCAAGTTCCTCTTTAAATGAGCTGAAATTGATCGTAAGCAAAAGGAATATAACATTTATCTGCCAAGATAACTACAGGTAACTGATTTCTTCTTGACAAAATGGTTGTCAGAGCTGAGAGGGTTGTGAGAATCCATCTCAGGCTTGGGCAGTGGTCTCATATGGTGACCTATGGTGGTCTCCATCCCTCCTGCAAGCCTAGCTGGTGTTTTCCTAGCCTGTGGCCTTTATGTTGCCTCCCTTTCCTCCTTTCTCTTGCCTTCCCTACCAGCCCAAGTGACGGGGAGCCCACTGATCCTTAGAGGACGTAGTCCCTGGTTTCCAGTGCACCTGCTGGGTTTCAAGGGAGCAGAAGCATGCTTTGCCAAGACCTTTCTCTCAAGCTATAAAATCCTGTGCCTGGGCATGCATTTGCATGTGAAATCTCCTAGTTAGATCCAGATGTAAATGCCTAATGCTTGGTAAATTTCCACATGCAGTCTACCAAGATTTACCTTTTCTAAATACATATATATATGTATGTATAAATTTTTAAAGAAAATTTATCAGTAATCCACGATTTGGGAGGAAATATTTTAAAATTACGGACAGGTATATAATCTTTAACACCACCTGTTACTTCAAAATTGGAAGCCCTGTACATGTTTTTAATGAGCTGTGGCTGGTGGTACAGGCAGGGAGGCATTGCTAGAAGCATCTTCAGAATTTTCCCATTAGCTTGGACCAAGACTAAAGCAGAGAGAAAGGCTTTTCAAAGCACGCAGAAGCTGAAGGGCTAGAGATTTTTTCTGTCTCTTAATGTCACCCACCATCTCACAAAGGCAGAAGGACAGATTTAAGGAACTTTCACAGATGGCTCGCTTTCCAGATGACCTGGATTTTCCATCTGTCAGTGGCTGTTATTGAGAAACTGCCAGGAAAAAAAAAAATCCCATCAGCGTATTGTAAAAACAGGAAGAAAGAACAATTATAAAAGAAACCTTGTAGACATCTGACTGGCTAAATTATTCAAAGGTATTTGCATGGAGAAGAGGTGTTGACATTCTAGGGGAAGGTTGAGGAATGCAGACCCCGTTGCTTTGTTATCTCACATTTATGAAAATGACGGTCACTTTAAATTATCAGTTTGTTATTTATCTAAAGTTCACTGTGTGCAGAGGAGGCATGGTCCTCTGCCAGTGTTCTCCAGCTCTCCCCTGAGGTGTAGGGGCAGGGGAGGGTAGGCGGGGAGACAAGGTCCCTGCTGTTCTCACACTTTGACCCAACAACCTCCAAGAGCTTCTGAAGAGAGGAAAGCTGGATCCTCAGGGACTGTGCCATCCCTGGTCCCAGTGGCCACTTCTGCTGTTTCATGATCAGCAACTGTCACACGCATGTGACACACTTAAACCAGATGCCCATTTTCATCTCCACATATTACCATCATACACTTCTTGGCATTTGTTTCTATGGTCTTAGTCATTTCCCCTGGGCTAGACTTTGCTCGGTGTTGTCACTGAGGAGAGGCGCATGTGGATGTTCAGTGGTCCGTTTTTCTTTGGCAGCTAAGGAAGGGTCTTCTTTCATTGCTGAGTTGAACCACGGGTGTATCATTCTGTATATTTTTCTCTTTAAATTGTTTTAATACATTTATTTATTTATTAAGGGGGTATTAGTGCTATGTGTGGAAGTCAGAGGGCAACTTGGGGTGGTCAGTTCTCTCTTTCCACCCTATCTGGGGAATCAAATTCAGGTCATGAGGCCTGGCAGCAAGTGCTTTCTCCCATTGACCCATTTTGCAGGCTTTTACCCGCTCTCTTGATTTTCTTTCTTGCTTCCTGCCCACAGGCCTATCAGGTTTGTTCAATGCGCGGAGAATCCTGAGCATTCATCCTGTGGATCTAGAATCTGAGCCATGATGGCTTTAGATCTTAGACCTCCTACAGCACATATCAATGTGGCCGGACACAGAAAGCGCCCAGTGGAGGGAGGGCTGAAGATTTCAGAGAGAGGTGTCTGTTGCAGTGTCAACACCAGACATGGAAGTGTTTCCCTCCAAATTATGACAGAATTGTGTTAGTAGTATAGTTCTTACTGTACTCTACCAATATTCAAGAAAGAACTACTTTATAAAGTTAGACTTAAATTTTTATATTGTTATTTCACTTTAACTTTCTCATGTGGTGCTTTTATGAAGTTTATGTACTGCTAACATCTTTTTCTTTTAATGGGGCTAGGAAATCAAACCTAAGAATCCTTGCACACAGTAGGTAAGCCTGTCTACCAGTGAGCTACATCCCCAGCACAACTACCAACATCTTTCAATTGAAAAATAACCAACCAAACCTTTCTTGTTAGAATGAGCAAACAAAAGAAAATGAAATGTCCAAGATAATGTTTCATTAAGACAACCCGATTTCAAATGAACGGCCTTATCTCCTGATGTTTTTGCATCCTTCTGACAGATACTCAGACTATAAACTCCATGGTCACAGGTTACTACAGGGAAGGTGCTCTATGCATTTCACACCACCTGCATTTGTGCTTTATCTCTAATCCTCCCAGCATTTCTGTAAGTTTGGTTATTATTTTCCTTTTTCATTTTTCAGTTGAGAAAAATGGGAGTTTGGAAAGGTTATGCAATTTTTCTAAAGTCATACTCCAGGATAAAGGTTAAAGTTGAATTTAAACTCAGCTGTAGCAAACCCAAAAGTGTATGTGTTTTCTTTTCCTAGGCCTTTAACATCACACTGGTAGAAGCCTTTGTTAGTGAATGTTGCTGGATTAAAGTGAACACAGTTGAGTCTAGAATGTGCTTTTTTCTGGATGACTTTAAAACAGAAGAATTTTTCCCCCATTTTTTTCCTTCTCATGTGTGTTAGTCACTTTTCTGTTGCTGCGATAGAAACACTGACCCAAGCAATTTATAGAAGGAAGAGTTTATCTGAGCTTACGGTTCCAGGGGAATTACACTCCGTCATGGCAGGGAGGCATGGTGGCTGGAGGTGGCTGGAGCAGGAGCAGCAGAAGCTAAGGTCCCATATAATCACACAGGCACAGGAAGCAAGAGAGCAACTGGAGATTTGGCAAGGCTTGAGAACTCTCTAAGCCCACCCCAGTGACGTGCTTCCTCCAGGATAGCCACACCTTCTAAGACCTCCCAAAACATTGCCATCATCTGTGGACAAAATGTCCAAACACTTGGAGCCTATCGGGGACATTTTCATTCAAAACACTGCATTATTCTCAGAAACTTTTATAGGTAGAAAAGAGTTAAAACATATTTGTTCCTGATGTTGGAAACATGTTTTCTGCTCTTTCTTCTTAGATCAGTGTTGTGATGAGTTTGCCAATTTTTTGTTGTTATTTTTCTTTCAAAGAGCCAACCTTTAACTTTGCTCATTTATTTTATTTAATTGATCTTTTCTCTTTAGTTTTAGAAATATACAATTTTCTTCTAGTTTCTCTGAATATTTTTGTTCAGCTTTTTTAAACAGGTGCTTACATCATTGATTTTTCAGCCTGTTTTCTTTCCTTACATGTTTCTTAGTGCTATAAATTTGCCTCTGAGCCTTGCTTTAGCTGCAATGTTGAAGTTTTGATATGCTGTTTTTGCTTATTCTAATTTTGTTTCATTGTTATTTAGAATTATATTGTTTAATTTTCAACAAGTGGAGAGGTTTTTGGTTTTTTTAAAAAAAGTATATATGTTGAATGGATATTAATAAAATAACTTAAACACCTTCAAAAGATGTGCTTTTTTTATTGAAAATGACACAAATTTTGGAGTCAGGCATTTCTATGTTTATATTTTGGCCCCATTCTGTGATCTTTAACAATGTACCCATTCTCTCTAAACGTCAGGGTTTTTTTTTTTAACCACTCAAAGATTATTGTTTCCTTCCATTAAAATATGGTCTTGGGGGCCTGGGCGATGGCTTAGTCAGTACAGTGCTTGCCTTATAAACATGAGGACCTGAATATGATCACCAAAACTCACGTTTTTAAGAAAAGCTGGGTATGGTGGCATAGCTTTATAATCCTAGAACTGAGGTGACGGAGACAGGTAGATCCCTGGGGCTCCCCTGCACCCAGCCCCATAGCCTAATTGTAAACCCCAGGACCCAGTGAGAGACTGTCTCAAAAGAGAAAAAAAAAGGTGGAAAGTATATAAGAAATGACAGCTGGGGTGTACTCTAGTCTTCACACACATGCATACACACACATGCATACACACACACACACACACACACACATAATGGTGGTAAATTAGATAACAAAACTCGACAGCCTTTCACAGACCCTTGAACATAAGTAATTTCTCAGCCAGTTGGGGCTCCTCTCTGCTACTCCTTAGTTGAAGATCCAGTTCCTTCAAGATCCCTTGCACCTGTAGCCATGGTGGACACCCAGTGAACTAACTGCCCAGGGATTCCTCCCCGGCACCTTTTCCACTTAGGCATGTTTTCATGGGAATCCCTGTCAATCTGCTGGGCAATATGAGAGTTTTACACAAGACTCTTACTGCCTTACTGTCAAGGTTGCTTGCTGATTTACCAGTGTCTTTTCTTAGGAGCACACCCTTGAAGAAGCTTCTAGTGTCAGAATACTTTGGGTCTTCACATCCCCTTCCAAGATGAAATGGATAGAGTAAAAATCATGAGACACATCCAAGACTCACCTGAAGTCAAGTTGTAAGCCAGTGGAGATCTTAGCAGGGGCTGGTCTCAGGTTTTCCACACTGTGCTGAAGAGACCTCTTGGGAGCCACAGTGGTGGTCTTGGGAGCTAGGACACTCTTTTCCTTGTACCACCCTATATACACCCTGTGTATCTTAATCCATATCCTGCAGCACTCTGACTCCTTTCTCTCCGTAGTTCTAACTTTGAGCATCAGTGCCACTGGCTGCGCAGCTATCTGCAGCCCTACAGAGTTGCTGGCTTATATACATAACAGATGTTCCATACTCTTCTTACATGAGATTGCTGGGTTACTGTTTGCTTATAAGCCTGCTGTGCCCTCTCTACTCAATTCTTGCTTGTGCTAGAAGTTTCTTTCATCATCCCTGCTTGCCCTACTATCATAATTACCTGAAAGTTGGAGAAATGACCAGCGCAAAATTTCTAATTTCCTCAGGTTCACTATTTTCCCACTGTGATGAATTTTAACTTTACAATGCTTGAGGTGCCCTTTAAAAAGGAGTATTGAAATGGCAGGCTGACTCCTTGAAAGGATGTGTGTGTGTG